TGTTGATAAAATGTATTTTTAATATAAACTTACACAATTGTATCACAGGAACATAATCCTAGGAAGTCAAAAATTTCATTTTTATTTTTTACGATTAAAATTTTTAAATAAATGTTTCTCATGTTTATTGTATGATAAAGATACGTCTCACAGATAATTTAAACCAAAAATGGATGCAGTAGGCCCTGTCCAAAATATACAAAAACGACCTTTTTTTCACAGAGTTACCATACTATAAATCGATTAGTTAATAATTGTTTCTAGTTTTTCGATGATATTCAGTTCTAATAAACAAAGGCTAATTTTTTACAAAATGTAAAGTGATTTTCTTTATAATTAAGCGCAACACTTTAAAAATAAGAAACCGCAAAATTTTAACGATATTTTGCGATCTTTTTAGAAAATATTCAATAAATCCTTACCTAACAGTTTTATTAAGAATTACTGGACTACTGCAAAAATATTTATTATTTATTTATGAAGATCTATGTATACTAGAGAAAATATCTGGCACAAGGAGTCTTGAAAGCAGAGCTGAGGTGTTTTTTCTGATTTATCTGGTTGGATCCGTACTAGATTGCAACCCCGATTTTCCTACTAAAAGCAAAAAAATCATGCAAAAGTTCTAAAAAAATGCTAGAAGCAGAAAATATCAACTTTTTCTACATCAGGCTTTTTTTTATTCTGAACGGCTGCTCCAAGCTTGGTAAGATAAGCATGATCTGCCACTGGTGTGCATTCCGTCCAGAATCACCGAACGGTGATGTCTCTGGAGCAATAGTGCTTGAATGACAGAATTTACAATGTTTCTTAATTTCGGAGTTAAAAAGGCATTATTACTTCCTAGAAATAATTTGCGAACTGTTTACTGTAGGAAAGTATTCTAACGTTGTTCGCTTGATAATTGCTTCTTAATCAAAAAGTAAAGGTGGTAACATAGCCAAGGATTCGAAGTAATTTTCGATAAGCAATGAATCAAATTTTAAATCATAAAAGAATGGAATCTTTCAAAGTCAAGATAAAAAAAGAAAAGGTATTTTTAGTGGGAGTGTAGGAAGTTTTTAATAATTGTGATGTCTTCATTTTCATGATTTTTGGCAAGCATTGCCATAACAGTCTATTTATTGGGAAACTCTTGTTACTTGAAATAGCCCACATACATAAGCTTTGTTCAACAAAAACGTACAATGGAGCTAGAACTGTATAGTTTTTTCTCTAAGAAGATATTAGTTGCTTGTCTTATTGATTGAAAATGGATGGTCATCAGTAAATAATCCTATTTAGCCTTAAAAAAAAAACTTTTACTCTAGAAATATGGATTTTTTTGCAATATTTGTGGATGATAATGAGGTTAAGTATTCGCTGTGAGGATGAAGACCAGCAGCGCTCCAGCAGATTTTTTCCAAGACCTGAACATGTCGTGAGCAGATTGTTGTGCCGTGATACATACGGACTCGGTGACATAAATATTCATTGCAATTAATTAAGAGCTCGTAGTACTCTGCACCTATAGTCTATAAAAGTTTGTGTAATGAGTTATCCATAAAAAAATTTTTTAACCTATCATAGTGCTGTGTATCACCAATTAATATGAAGGGCAATGATGCGGATGACACGAAAAAAGGTTACGGGCATATACATGTGTGTATACATGTGTGCTTCTCTGTGTGTGGTTGTCGACTGCAGCCACTGTGCTGACGACGGCGACGACTGTACACAGTGTACAATTTGATTTTTGTAACTAAATCAAAAACATACTAGAGTTACTATCAGCCAATCATTAAATATATCATGAATACCTGATTGCACTAACTTTCATATATAAAAAGTGCAGAGTGCCACGAGCTTTCAATTAGTTGCAATAAATATTTATGTCACCAAGTCCGTATGTATCACGACACAACAGTTGGCTCTCAATACGTTCAGGTCTTGGGGAAAATCCGCTGGAGCACTGCTGGTCTCCGTCCTCACAGCGAATAAATGTAAATGTAAAAAAACAAAAAATGAATCTTATTGTGTTTCTACTGGTTATATGGAAGTATATATGAGCAAAGAAAATTTTATCAATTGAGTTGATTAGATACGATGAAAAATTACTTGAAATTTTTTGATGCTAAATGAATGAATAATTTAAACCAATTCGTATAATTAAAATTCTATACCATATCTTTAAGAAAAAAAAATTTTTTCATCAAATAACTAAATTGATAAAAATTTTTTTGAAAACTGGCAGACAACATTTTTGACTTATTTTTATAAATGTATAAAAATTACTACGTGGTATCAGTGGACTAAAATTCTGTACGAATTAGCTAAAGTTTATAAAACAGAGACTAATCGGAGGCTACTAGGAAAATTTTGCTTTAAGTAGACATCAGACTGAAATGGAAATGTGAAATACTTTTTTACAGTCATCTTGATATACGTGTACACTTCAGTAATAAAAACCACCTAATGGGTTCGAAAGTTTAAAACTGTCACGCTTTTAGGCTACTTATAGAATATTAGACATCTGAATGACAACTACGTGTTATTTTCTGAAGAACGGTGCCTGAACATACTTCATTGAATAAACATTCCTGAACATACAGCCTCATTCGTGACTGATCAAATGGGCTTGGAATACTATAGAGTGCTACTCGAACTGTGTTTCAGTATCCCTCTCCAATAATTTATCGGCAACTCGAGGAAATTCCAGCGCCCTAGTGTCAGTGTATTAGGTCATTTAATAGTTTAGATTACATCAAATCTAAGGGTACCCTTTTTTATATCCTCAACCAGACAAAATCTTGAGAAATTCATGCTTAAAGCTCACTCTTTAAACTAGATCGCTTATGGCAGGTATAATAATTCTAATGATTTGCAACTCAAATTGAAAGTGTCAGGTACTATCAGTACACACGTGTTGTAGGCTATAACTTCAGTTTTTAATTGCCGTCGTGGAAAATATGGGTAACCGGAAAAATTTGTGAGGTATTCTATTTATGATTGATCGAATTGTTGTATTTCCGTAGGTTAGCCTATGTTTTTCTTATGGCAACGGTGCCAACTATCAAAGTTTTTTGAGCAAATTAGGGCTCCAAAATGAGGGTTGGTATCCCTACTCACTGTAACCTACTTAAATATGGAAAATCTCGTAATACAAGATAAAGTTGCTAGTAACTTGTTGGAGAGCGATACTGAATCATAACCCTGGACATCAAATTTGATGAGTAAGTGTACCAGCCCATTATTATTATTATCAGGTATACACATCTGAACCTTCTACCACGTCCAGAAGTTTTAGCGTACTAAGCTTCCTGGAGCACATAACGTAAATGTCTTAATTGAAGTGCATGTACAACGATGACCTAGTAAATTTGATTTCATTTTAATTTTATTTTGTGATACAAATATCATGTGTGCATATCAGTTTCAATACGAATGCCAGTAAATGTGCGAAGAAGCACGTGTGTGTCAGCCACGTACCTCTCGATAGTGTGGTGTACACAAATTTTCGACACAACGTGAGTGAGGATCTCGATTGAGAGCCAGCTATTCTTTAAAGACTTTGACGTACATGTGATCTGTGAGTCACATGTGTCAATCAAGTCCTTACAGTCACAGCAGATGGTTTGAAAGAAAATTTCTCGCGCATGACGTATCAAAAAAACATTTATAGATAATAATAGTGCTTGTCATGATTGATATTATTTACGGTGGCTTGGGCCAGCTGTTGTGTATCAGTTGTTGTCGTACATAGGGTGAGGTACCGTAGGCGTAGGAGCCCTGATTAAATAAACTTTTGTCGACGGTTACTTTCTTAATTAATGCATTTCTAATATAAAAGTATGTTTCTGGGGCATGCGCACCTACAGAACCAGTTTAAGTACCAAGTACAAAAATTGTTATTTCTTACTCCTCATTCAATTTTCACCTTATCAAAGTGGTATAATTGTCAGAGTTTGATAAATTCTTTAAAAAAAAATACGTCAATAGTATTCTCTATTTTAGAGGTTTATCATTTATTTACAAAATAACAGACGATTTTGTGACAAGATTTCATCAGTAACAGTAACAAGTTTTTAGTAGAAATTTTTCCAAAAGTTAAATAATTAATTCTAGTATTTCTTTATCGCAAATTATTTTGACATACTTAATTTACATTACATCTGAATCTCAGAGATTTTTGAGAGAACGAATAAACTTCTTAGTTCAAAATATTTTTCTCTTTTAATGATAGATTCTCCTAGTGAAATATTTTATGTTCATTGTAGAGTAATACAGGCTTTTTTACGTTAATTTTTTTAAGAAGTAAAGTAATCGAAATTAAGTTATGTTCTTTATTTATAAAGTAAAAAATATACCACTTTTTTAAAGCTTTAATAAACACTTAATTTGTTCATAGCTTCCTTTTTAATTTTTTTTTATTNATGTAATGACATGTTACTGCAATGCCTAGCAACATATGTGAGAAAGTAATAAGAACCAAACGCTATTAGACTATTTACATAAATTAATATTAAATAAATTGGCAGTGTGGCTTGCACGACTGAAAAATATTTTTTTTAAAATTAACAATAAGTTTGAATCAATAACTTATTTCTGACTTAAAGTGTGTCAATGTGCCCGTTCTTATTGTTTTTGTGTGCTACTTCAAATTTGGGAAAAAACATCGAAATGCTTTTATTTGAAATTCGCTTGATCAAAAAATCCCCTATCCCTAGAGCTAAATAATTCTGAGACACTCTGAATACTCTAATCGTTAAACATTGTATATCAATGACAGAGTACGTTGTATGTAGGGTTTCATCAATTAAAAAATTTAGGACCATTGGTAAATTTGATAGTATCTATATACTAGGACGCTTTTATTGTATGAAATTTTTTTTTATGTCTCGTTTTTTTTAAATTTTAGATTGATGGAAAAATTTTTTTAGTATAACGAGGCAAAGAAATGTATCGAAGTTGCGAGTTAATTTATAACTTAGTTTCTTTGCATTCACTTTCTTAATTAATTTGTTCTTTATTAATTATTGCAGGTATTAACAAACAACTTAATAAAAATGTGTGACGACGAAGTTGCAGCCCTTGTCGTGGACAACGGATCTGGAATGTGCAAGGCTGGATTTGCTGGAGATGATGCTCCTCGAGCAGTGTTTCCTTCAATCGTTGGTCGTCCTCGTCATCAAGGAGTAATGGTTGGCATGGGACAAAAAGATAGCTATGTTGGGGATGAAGCTCAGAGTAAAAGAGGTATCCTTACTCTAAAATATCCTATTGAGCATGGTATAATCACCAATTGGGATGACATGGAAAAGATTTGGCATCACACGTTTTACAATGAATTGCGTGTTGCACCGGAAGAACATCCTGTACTTCTTACTGAAGCACCTCTGAATCCAAAAGCAAATCGAGAGAAAATGACTCAGATAATGTTTGAAACATTTAACAGTCCTGCTATGTATGTTGCCATACAAGCCGTACTTTCACTGTATGCTTCTGGTCGCACGACAGGTATCGTTTTGGATTCTGGAGATGGTGTTTCTCATACTGTTCCAATCTATGAAGGATATGCTCTACCCCATGCCATTTTACGTTTGGATTTAGCTGGTCGTGATTTAACCGATTATCTTATGAAAATCTTGACTGAAAGAGGTTATTCCTTCACTACAACGGCTGAAAGGGAAATTGTACGAGATATCAAAGAAAAACTTTGTTATGTTGCACTAGATTTCGAACAAGAAATGGCAACAGCTGCTGCAAGTACTTCTCTTGAAAAAAGTTATGAATTGCCTGATGGGCAAGTTATAACCATCGGTAATGAAAGGTTCCGCTGTCCAGAAGCTTTGTTCCAACCATCATTCCTAGGAATGGAATCTTGCGGTATTCATGAGACCGTTTATAACTCAATAATGAAGTGTGATGTAGACATTCGTAAAGATCTCTATGCTAATAACGTCTTATCTGGTGGTACTACTATGTATCCTGGTATTGCTGATCGTATGCAAAAAGAAATCACTGCATTAGCTCCTTCAACAATCAAAATTAAGATCATCGCTCCTCCTGAGAGGAAATATTCTGTATGGATTGGTGGTTCTATTCTTGCTTCATTATCTACCTTCCAACAAATGTGGATATCCAAACAAGAATACGACGAATCAGGACCAGGAATCGTTCACCGCAAATGTTTCTAATCGTTAAATTTTTTACATACATTCTCAAATTCAATATTTAATTTTTTAGTACCATTAATTTTTGAATGATGTATCAAAATCATTGCCAAAATTTAATAAAAAATGTGTAAATCTATGTACTGTCTTGCGATTTTACTGGATCTGTGTGTATAGGTTGTATGTGCATGCAATTTCAATCTATAAGATCGTACTTAATATGATGATGAATTTCAAAAGAACAGCTCAAAATATATTTAGTCAAAGTTTATATAACTACCCTTGGTAGTAAAACAAAAACATAAACGTGAACCTTAGGCATCATTAGATTACTTGTCACGTATCGTTTTTTATTAACTCCACACTAAATTTTACTTTGCAACAAGATCTAAATAATTAGCCATTCATATTTCTAAATTATTTTTTAACTTTTTATTGTTATCAGGTCTGTACGTTTTTTTCAAGTTTCATTATACTTAGTAAATTTTCCGTGGTTTTCGCCAGTCCGAAAATTCTTGGATAGTTCAAAAATATTTTTTCTAACATACATTGTATTATATTAAAAAAAAGATTTGAGAAAAAAAGTATTCAAAAAAGAAGGTATTCTGACTCTAAAACTAGTAACACATGTACCCTTATTCCTTTTAACTAATAGAAAAACTTTCGTTAAAAAACATTCATTAGTTTTTGAAAAATTCTATTGCTTTAAGACAAGTATCTTTAATGTGATTAATAAAATATATACCTGTTAGCGTTATCAAAAATAGCTTGAAGATGGCTAATTTTTATCATCAATCTATTATGACCGCATGAGTTTTTTAAAATTTTTACCGTTAAAAGAGCGATGAAAATATAACTTTTCTGAGCAGCTTTTTTTATTGAAAAACTCACAACATATGAGTAGTAACATATATCTTTTGCATTTTACTTGTTGGTAATTTTACAGAAGCTTTTTTAAATAAAGTTTTGCGTTGAAAGACTCACAGGACAAGAGAAATTTTTGAACCAATTAATGTTGTAAATCGTAAGTCATGTAATGACATGTTACTGCAATGCCTAGCAACATATGTGAGAAAGTAATAAGAACCAAACGCTATTAGACTATTTACATAAATTAATATTAAATAAATTGGCAGTGTGGCTTGCACGACTGAAAAATATTTTTTTTAAAATTAACAATAAGTTTGAATCAATAACTTATTTCTGACTTAAAGTGTGTCAATGTGCCCGTTCTTATTGTTTTTGTGTGCTACTTCAAATTTGGGAAAAAACATCGAAATGCTTTTATTTGAAATTCGCTTGATCAAAAAATCCCCTATCCCTAGAGCTAAATAATTCTGAGACACTCTGAATACTCTAATCGTTAAACATTGTATATCAATGACAGAGTACGTTGTATGTAGGGTTTCATCAATTAAAAAATTTAGGAACTTAATAACGATAAGTTTCAATTTTGGCCGTAAGTAGTTTGAAAAATACATTTGGCGCATAAAACAACAATTCAAAAAGTTAGTTATGATTTTTCTCACCTTTCATACTAATATAGTTGAGTAATTTTTTGGTTGATCTTTTGGGGCAAACACCAAAATAAAAAATACGCACAACACGTTTTTTAATATAAAGCAACGTTTCATCGACTGGAGCATCAACCTCTTTAGGATTTATTAACAAATTTAATAGTAAATCAGTACAAAAATCAAAAAATTGTAGACATAAACGCAAGTGATCCGATTATTACAAACGCTGAAGGGAATAATTTAACGTAATAATATTTGTTCGCACGAAATCAAACAGGTAAAAGCATCGAAACTACGCGAAGTTGTCAGTTTGCAGGACAGTACACATATTTATATAGATACATCATTAGGTCAATGCATCAAATTAATAGATATGGTCAGTAACGTGTATATTTGTAAAAACTTTTATAAGTGTGACTCAATCTGTATAGGTCCTCCTTCTTATTTATATTATTGTCGTCTGACACTAAAAGTATGAAGCATTTCAGAAATTACTCGTTTCTTGTAACTTGGCTTATTGTTTAAAATTCAAATACTATCCCATTTAAAAGTGTGATAGTTAGAAATTTGATGTACAGATATCAAACATTCAGTTTTGTTATTATTTTTATGTTCTTATCTCCTCTCTTTAAGGGCTCCTTTTGTTTCACCTATACATTTTGCAGGAGAGATTTTGCAAATATTTAAAAAGTTATCTTAACTTCTATGTGTTCTAGACCAACATTTTTTTTGTCAAACTACAGGCTATTTCAATGTAAGAGATTCATGCTGATACAATCATTTGTTGTAAAATTGTTGGCGAAAAATATAATTAAAAAAACATCAACGTTATTAACTCCATTTTGATAGCGCCAAATATAAATAATCAATACGTATACAGTAGATTAATAAAATGGACGTCTTCAGAAAGTCATAAGTCATGTTTGAACTTTTTTTGATAACGTTAATAGGTCAATCATTCTTGTAACATTAGGGACTTTTTTAGTTAATAAATAAGATTATCAACAACTGATATACATCTTTAAACGAAACTTTTTTTGTTAATAAATTCTTAAATTATATAATTTCTTGATTGAGGAGGTAATTAGGACATGTCTTAGGACCTCATATACAATTTTTTGTTTAAAGAAAATATATAAGTTAGGTATTGAGCTGCAAAAAATTAATTAGTTTGTGCTGAAAAGTACGAAAATTCATTAAAAAAAGCAATAAAAAAAGGATTCGAAAATCAGAAGGCAGTAGGTGCTTAAGTACCCAAGCATAACGTCATACTTTCATAGCAAACAATATTTGAATGTATGTACCTTTAATAAGACGATATATTAAATAAACGAAACTTATTGCGATACATCAAACGTGGTTTAACTATCTTTGGAATTAGGATATTAGGTAATTAGGTGTGGTTTTAACAAGTATTTCATGACAAAATGAATAGTAAAAAGAATATATTATGTAAGGAAGAAGAATATTGAGAACAGCTATGGCACGACGCGACGTGACGTGCTGTTTGGAAGGCCATAAATGAAATACATAAAGGAAATATATAAAGTGCACAGTATGCGTACCTATCTTAGGCTAGTAATAATACCAATTAGAAAGTAAGAAAAATAAAATTATGTACAGGCAGGGACCAGCAAGACAATGTAGTTTCGGTTCTAACTACAAAAAAACAAATTTTTAACAAGAAATATTGGGCAACGGTGAAATGAAACTGCTATTGAATGGTTAAAAACCAGTTATTGCAATTTGCGGTACAACTTGAGCCCCGAGTGAAAAATACTTAACACAAAATTTGTCAATACTTAGAAAAAATATAAAACTTTTGTTCTTAGAATTTCTTGACATAACCGCAAATTCTAAAAAAAAAAAGACCAAATCTTCATTTTTCAGTTTTTATTTTTTTCTCACGTAAAAATGTTTGATAGGGGCTCATTCTTACCGTTAAAATATTAAGTTACGAATGATCTATAGATGTTAACAGTTTATTTTTCATTGAACTGTTGAAAACTTACGTAAACTAAAAAGAATTACTTTTTCATTCATGGATTGCTCGATTTTTAAGTTCTTTTATCATTTTTATTGATAAGGGATCATATATAATAATGGCAGTTGTAACTTTTATATATCACTCAAATTAAATTATTATTAGTACAACAGGTGCCATGAATCATTTCGAAAATGGAAAAAAAAAATCCTTGCATTCTCGCATATTCAGGTATCAAAAAAGAAAAGCTTGTTTTTATTTAATTTAAATTTAATTACGTGCTCAAACTCTTAGTTGCCAATTTCGAGACTGGCAGACTTTAAATTAAAAAAAAATGATGTAAGTAATCTGAGTTAAAACTACACATTTGTAGTCACAATAATTAAATCGGACAAATTATTTTTGTTAACATGTATAAAAAAATTTTAACTTTATTAACTCAGTAGGCGAGGCTTAAAAATAAGTAAATAAAGTCAAAATCAGGTAATAACACGGAACCTGTTTTAATCGCCTTAAAGCATCATCCTATTGTGGAGAAAAATAGCTATAGCCTAACAAAATGTGTGCTTCGATAATAATTAAATAAATATTGAAAAAACAGCAAGTTTTTTTCTATTCTTTTGATTATTTCGGTAAAACGGTGTAGCTGTCAATAGTTTTTAAGAGTTGAAGTTAAAGAAATCACAAGCACACTGCATAAAATGTAGGTGCACACCTAAAAAAAACAAATGCATTGTAGTCATTTTTATGAGATTTCTATAATAATTAGACCACTCAAAGGTAAAACTCTGAATGATCCAAATTATCCATTTCTAAGAATCACCTCATTATTATTAATGCCATAGTTTACTCTACTACTTAACTGCGGGTGAAACTGTGTGTCCATCAAGAATTTTTGCAAAAGTAAGATGGTAAAATAAATGATTAGAGAAAATATTGGTGTACTAAAAAAAAAACAAAGAACGTTGGAGTACTTTTTTCTGGATTCTTACAAGATTTGGACAGCTTATTAATAAAACTCCTAATGATCCAAAGTATTTACTTTTAACAATCAGGACGTTATTGTCAGATGTTTGAGTTGAATCCACTGCTTCATCTTCAAAAATTTTTCTGGAAAAATCTCAAATAAAATTCAACTGATGTTTCACATGTTCTCCTTATGGCAAATATACACGTGTCAACTCCTGTCTATATATCACACAGTAACATATAAACCCCTCTCTTTAATACTTTTGTATATCGAGTTTAAGCGTTGTAAGCTGCATGTGAAATTCACATTATTGTAAAGGCTAGCGGACTGTACACTTCAATTTACAGGCTTGTAGACGCTTCACATATTAGTGAATAGAAATTATTTGTGTAAGTTCTGGTTCCCGTTCGGTTAAATCACGATACAGCCGTCATCGTATTATTTAACCTTTGTTTTATTTGTTTAATTCAGTGCACCAGAAGAGGGCTATGTTATATCCGAAATGGCCGAAACGTCGTTTTATTTTTAAATAAAGTATCTTTGGATAGCGAGACCACCAGAGTTGTTTTAATAATAGACTATAGCTATAACTTGAGCCACTAACTAATCACATATAATGTACACGCACAATTCAAAAAACAAGGTGCATCGAAATAACTTTTCCTGGAATTGAATAATGTTTAGACAGCTAAAGGGTAAAACTATAAGTGATCCGAAGAATCGATTTTTAAAAATCATATTATTATTACAAGAGGCCTGAATCTACTCTAACATTTCATCTTATATAAAATAAAGTGGCTCTTAAGAGTTTTTTTGAAGTAAGATGGTTGGAGGAATTATAAAGATTAAAAACAGGGTGTAGACTTATACAACATAGTGTATCGGAGTAATATTTCCTAGTTTCGTACAATGAGTAGAAAACTTAAAAATAAAACTATATGTGTTCTGGAAAAATTATCTCATTATTAAGTAAACGCACAATATGTTTTTGACGACCAATTATCAATTTTTTATTTACTGGTTAGATAAATGTATGCACTAATAAACAAAATACGTTTTATGCTTAAAAAAAACTAGTTTCTTATTGTAAATAACGATTCGAATAACATATTCAAATTTCAGGAAGGTTATTGTTACAGTTTGAGAGATACTTGAGTTAAAAAGTTAAATAAAATGGTATGGGTACATCTATGCACAGCAGACGAGAAATAAAACATTGCGCATGACTCCAATTTCAAAGGATTAATTTTTTATTTTCTCACCTACCAGTAATCTTCTTCTAAACGATATGAAATAGCTCGCATAATTTATCAAGAATGATGATAAAAAACACTAATTTTTAATTTAAATCAACTTTCGAGGATGACTGTACCGCTCTAACCCCCTTAACTATTACTACCTAAAAGAAAAACCATCTTTACGTTCCTTGTTACAGTTTTTGTGGAATGAGCAAAAAGGTTATCATACAACGAACAAATAATAAATGTAACAGTATGATTTTGGAAACACTGAAATATCTTGATGATCCTATAGTAAGAGAGGAATGTATCTCAAGCTATTATAAAATCCATATATCTTCTCGTGACTAATGTAATTACTTCGCATGGGACAGTACTTATACATCTTGATCAGTCTGTAAAATAGATTCCCGAATGCAGATAATTTTGATAGAAAATAAGTAAAATAAAATGATCAAAATTGGAGCATGACACAAGATTCAACGGGGTGTCAGACTCTAAACTATGTGGTATCACAATAAGTAAATTGTTAAGTTCAAGTGGGACCCTTTGGTACAAAATGAAGCACGTCTATGAAGCCACCTCACAGAGTTTTACTGCCTCTACGAAGAGGGGTCGTCAGCACTAATTTGCGAGCTTTACTCAACCCTTGGGAACCACTTGTCTTTACTTACGGTTACCAATCAACTTAAGTTTGAACCAGACGAAACTGCCCAAGAGGAAACCACCAGATGCGAGACTGGCGCTATCAAAGTAAGGAAGAAGTACTTTTTATAGTCAAGCTCCTTGACAAAGGGTCCGAATTTTCCACGATCCTCTTCTTTTCATCACGCCATCCCCCCTTATTACTTAAGCCCGCCAAAATCGCTAACTGCCTTCGTTGGTTTTGACGTTTCCCCTCACCTGGTTGTGGCTCCATGCGTGCTTTTAGGGCACTCTTATGTAAACGTATATTACAAGGTCCCGATGTGAGAACAGCATCCGAAATGTACGTATAGGACTACGAGTAGATAAACTATGGTGGTTCTGCGCCCCACCCCATCTGCCCCCTAGGGTAGTGGTGGGGATAGTGCGATACTGCGTCAGGGGGAAGATACTGTGCTGTAAGATTGGGATCATGCGTTATAATTATCTTGCTCCACAAAGAGCTCTCTCTTTCTTCCTCCTGCTATTAGACAACGGTTCAAGCGCTCTATGTATGTGTATATATGTATGTATGTTCGACCTTTCGTGCACACGCACGATCGTACGGGTGCACCACGCGCTAGCGTACACAAGCACCGCGTGCGATCACACGCGTGCACCACGCGTGAGCGTACGCGAGCACGCGCCATCGTATTCGTGCTCCACGCGTGAGTGTATGCGCATCTTATTGGTATGAAATTGTAAATCATATTGATCTGTTAAGGATTTGAACTTTTTATTTTTTAATTTTAATTCATAAGTTAACTCTACTTATTTTTATAATTTTTTTATTCTTGTAAGAAAGTAATAAGGAAAGGTTGTGTATAGGTATAAAAGGTTATGTATACTTTTATTAGTGTAGAAAAGACTCTCCATGCATAGTGTTGATTGTAGATATTTCTCTCTACCTTAGACATTTTTCTCAAATTCGCCCAAATCCTCTTGAATCATGTGCATGCCACATTTCTTCTTGTAAAAGTACAGCGTTGCAAATGTTATATTAAGATGATGTATGCTGATAAAATATACTCACATTTTCCATATCACGATTTATTTTATGCCCTTTGGATCCACTCCACCAACATGCGTCACCATCCTCTTAACCACGTTTAAACCACATGCACATCCCATTTTTC